CATCATACGGAATTCTTATGATGGATTCAACTGCAAAATCGTACACGAAGGACAGCTAACAGACTCCTTTGAGGTGAAGACCGGTGTCAGGCAAGGTTGCTTACTCTCACCCTTTCTCTTTCTCCTGGTGATCGACTGGATTATGAAGACGTCAACATCTGGAGGGAAGCTCGGTATCAACTGGACAGTTAGGACGCAGCTGGACGATCTGGACTTCGCAGATGACCTGGCTCTTCTATCGCACACTCAACAACAAATGCAAGAGAAGACGACCAGTGTAGCAGCAGCCTCTGCAGCAGTAGGTCTCAACATACATAAAGGAAAAAGCAAAATTCTCCGATGCAACACAACATGCACCAACCAAATCACGCTTGATGGAGATACCTTGGAGGACGTTAACACCTTCACATATCTTGGCAGCATCATCGACGAGAAAGGTGGATCGGACGCAGATGTGAGGGCGCAGATTGGCAAAGCGAGGGCTACATTTCTACAGTTGAAAAATATCTGGAACTCTGAACAACTTTCAAACAAAACCAAAATCAGGATTTTCAATACAAATGTCAAGACAGTTCTACTGTATGGAGCGGAAACATGGAGAACTACCAAAGCCATCATCCAGAAGATACAAGTGTTTATTAACAGTTGTCTACGCAAAATACTTCGTATTCGTTGGCCAGACACCATCAGCAACAACGAACTGTGGGAGAGAACAAGTCAGATTCCAATGGAGGAGGAAATCAGGAAGAAGCGGTGGAAGTGGATAGGACATACACTACGAAAAGCACCCAACTGCGTCACTAGACAAGCCCTCACCTGGAACCCTCAAGGCAAAAGGAAAAGAGGAAGGCCAAGGAACACACTACGTCGAGAAATAGAGAAAGATATGAGAGGAATGAACAAACATTGGACAGAACTGGAGAGGGAAGCCCAGGACAGAGTTGGTTGGAGAAAACTGGTGGGCGGCCTATGCTCCATTGGGGGTAACAGGCGAAAGTAAGTAAGTAAGTGTGGAATACGTTCTCTACGTCATATCAAAACTTCTTCATGTATAGTACGCCGGACGAGGACAGTCGGATAAGAATAGCCTATCGTGTCACTGCATCATTTGTCTTCGCTCTGGTTTACCATAATAGTTTCAAGCTTATCAATTTAGGCACCCAGGCAGGTACTCAGTCAGCTCGCACACATACACACACATAAATTCCTTGAGTTGTGTAATATTTAGTTCGCGCTTCATACGCAAATGATATATTTGAATAATTTTAGTGAATAAATCATTATTTACACTTTTTGTGTTGTTGAAATTTTCTCATTACAACAATCATAGTTGTATTCGGATAATTCAGATATCACACATACACACACACGCACAGAGCAATTTTAATCGTTCATCTCGTTATCGACATCAGCCGGATAAGAGCAGGAAAAATCCACGGCACAAAGCACAAGACAGTTCTACTGTATGAGGTGGACGCTAGAAGAACTACGAAAGCTATCAAGCAGCAGATACAAGTGTTTGTTAGCAGTTATCTACACAAAATACTAAGCAACTGTTGGCCAGACAGCATTAGCAACAACCTACTGTGGGAGAGAATGAACCATATTCCAGCTGAGGAACAACAAATCAGGAAGATACGCTGGAGGTGGATAGGAGACATTGTTGGCCAGACAGCATCAGCAACAACCTACTGTGGGAGAGAGCAAAATCCAGATTCCTGCTGAGGAAGAAATCAGAAATAAGCGGTGGAAGTGGATAGGAGACAAATTGAGGAAAGCACTCAACTACGTCACAAGATTAGCCCTCACTTGAAATCCTCAAGGCCAAGGAACACATTACGTTGTGATGAAACGTTTATTTCGAAGTAACTAGTATATTACAATAACAACAGTCCCTCCCTCCGCTCGTGAACACACATAAAACTGTACATTTTGATACAATAGTTACAGCTTTAAGTCAAGAAATCAGAAAACAACTTTATTACGAAAATCCTTAACAATTCCTTTAACCGACAAAAAGACCAAATCATCATCACCGCCAAACTGACCAATTAGGCTAGAAATAATAACTTACCGATCGACACTTTGTCAAACAATCTAACGTTATGGAATTTTGTGTTCCATATGGAGAAACAAGATTATTGGTGACTGCTGATGCCGTTGATGTTGGCAGCGGTGGTGGTGGAGCTGGTCTACGTGTTACGCCACGATTAGACGAGGTAATAGGCTGATGTTGAAGAGATACTAACTGATCATTAGTATTATTGATTAGTTCAGAGTTTTGATTATTATTATTGATGACAGTATTGTTGGATGAGAACCATGGTAAATGTTTAAACTGATCAATTGATAACATAGAATCAATGGTTGACGAATTAGGATTCCAATAGAAATCTTCACTAACACGACGTCCATCATTGATATCCACAAGGAATATAGTAACAAAATATGGTTCTGGCTAAAAGTATCAATCGGAAGAGAAAAAAAACAGATGGTATTTTGTAATGAGTGAAGAAGTCAAGATCAGATGGATTACTAACTTACTTACTTACGTCTGTTCCCCGCAATCGAGCACAGACCACCGGCCAACATTATCCAACCTACTCTCTATCCTAGACCTTCCTTTCTAGTTCTGTCCGATCGCTGTTCATTCTTTCCATGTCTGTCCGCATTTCTCAGCGTAACATGTTTTTTGGTCTTGAGGATTCCAAGTGAGGGCTTTTACTGTAACGATGTTGGGTGATTTCCACCTTGTGTGCATTATCTACCTCCTACGTCATTTCCTAATTTCTTCCTCCACGGGAATCTGGTCTGTTCTCTCCACTTCTTGGCGTTATGTTTCCTTTGGTTTTCCTTTTAGTTATGAGTATTTCCAAGTGAGGTCTTGACTTCTGACGAAGTTGGATGCTTTCTTCAACGTGTGTTCTATCTACTTCCAGAGTTTCTTCATCCGCTGGCATCTGGTATGTTCTGTCAAACAGTAGGTTGTTGTTGATGGTTTCTAGCCAACGGATCCGAAGTATTTTTGTTGGAGATGTTAGATCCCCAGAACTCGCTTGATAAATATATTTACTTTGGATTTATTTCATGGACCGATCAGTTGACCTTGAGATCACATTTCCCACCAGGAAAATCCTTAGCTGTGATTGGTTACTGTGTCATTTTAGTGAGCTATTTTGTGACTGTCCTAAGGACGTCTCTCTAGGGTATAAATAAACGCGATTTGAGTGCTTGGATTCATTGTGTGCTGGCTGGGTGTTTGTAGAATACACTTTCTACGCTATATCAAGGCTTCTTGCTGGTACAGTTGGGTCAAGGGAACACAGTAGCCTGTTAGGACGCTAGTTCATTGTTTTGTTCTCGTTATTCGACCAAGGTGAAGCCGTAATAGTTTTAAGCGCATACCTAGAGACGAGCATAACAATAATGCGTAGACAACTGTTAATAAACACTTGTATCCTCTAGATAATACGGTTTCGTAGTTCTTCAAGTTTCCGACCCATAAACAAGAACTGTCTTGACATGTGGATTGAAAATTCTGATTACGCTATTGGTTGATGGGTATTTTGAGTTCCAGATTTTCTTCAACTGCAGAAACGCTGTCGTTGTTTTGCCAATCCGCGCTATCGGATGAATTATTAGTAGTGAATTTAATACAGACATTATCCCACTAACAAAATGTGTACAATACAGCATCTTCCCATTTGTAAAACAAGTAGATTATTGGATGTCTTTATTCATAAATCCTCTGAACTGCAAAGTACTTTGATAGTGTCATTACATTCTGATTCTCTGATACTCTTCCATTCCGGTAGTAACTTCGGAGTGACACTCAGTTATATAATACTACTAAGAAGCCATATTATAAGTAGTATCCATCACAGTACAACTTTCACTTACCTTACATGAATTAAATTAATACGGATTTATAAAAATTTATGTTTTGGAAAAACACAATAACATAGAAAACATTGAAATTTCGAATCGATTAATAATAGATCAGTGTTGAAAGAAACTTGGCGGAACTGGAAATGAGAATCTGTTAGGATATTTATCAAATATCCTAAGAGAATTATTTTTCGAAGTCTAATTCTATTGCTCAATATTTAAGGTCGTCCTAAACTACCAAGTTCACATACTTTAAATGTTGTTTCCTATTGGTCATCCTAACTGTCAATGTCACAGACTTCAATGTTGTTTCCCATTTGACCTAATTGTATAAATACGCATTATCCGTAACGTTTTATGACCTGAATCCTCAGCCTCTTCTGGACTCGGACCTCGTACTTTCTGGATGCGTGTAGAACACACGTTCTACTTCATGTTAAGTCTTCTTCTTTTACTCAATGGGGGTTTGGGACGTTCAGACTAGAGTAGCCTGTAGTGTCGCCGGATCCTCGCTTTCGTTTTCCGATTACGGTGAACTTGTAATGGTTCAAGCGTATCAAAGGACGTGTCAACGTTCATGCGTAACAGAATCTACGGCCCCTAGACAAGGAAATGCAAACCAGGACATTCAGACTTGCGTACGAACGCTTCACCATCGGGCCAGCATCCAACGGCGTTAATATCTAACTTCAATCAATGACCGCCTTACACTCGACGCACTCGAGCTACACTGCTCACGGCCTCTCAACAGAACTCTGAAAATGTCAACATGAAGACAGTTACTAGTGAACATATGATTGTGGAAATCAGTGAGTTCAACCGTGTCGGGTGTAAGGCAGTTGTTGCCGATCAAAACCAATGAATAGTCATGCGATTCCATGGACAGATTGAAGTTAGGCATTAACATGACTTTGGATGCTTTTGCTTCAATGGTCATGAGCTTAAGCGTCCCAGAGTGAGAACTACGGTCATGAATGAACAGATTAGACAGAAACTGAGTAAGAAAAAAGAAGCAAACTTACATTCTCCAAATGAGATGTTGCTGCTGGTGATGATGATGAATTGTCTGAAGCTTCTAAATTAACTTGAATTTTTGAATGTAAACATAAACATGTTGCCAAATAACGTCGATTACACAATTCCATTGTACGTTCAGGGAATGGTGATAAGGAATCTTTGATATCAGTTATGATCATATTATTATTTTCATGTAATGAATAGAGTCGCCTTTTATCTTGATTTATCTAATTTGTATAAGAGGGAGAGTGGGTGAAAAAAAATGAAAGAATTAACTGATCGATAACAAAAATCAACAATCTGATGGGTGCATTGAACAAACCATATTCCAGTGGTGGAAGAAATCCACAAGAAGTGCTGGAAGTGGAAAGGACACACATTGACGAAAGCACCCAACTACGTTACAAAACAAGCGCACACAGGGAACCCTCAAGATCAAAGGAAAAAAGGTCATTCGGTCAGTCAGTCAGTCATTTACAACGTAGAACTTCCTACGTACATGCACAGAGACGCAACTGTCAGTTCAAATCCAAGAGTGATAGCGATAGTAGAGGAATTATCAGTAATGGAGAAGATTAGGGATCGAAGATATTAATCTAGAAGTATAGTTCAGTATGATAACTTGAAAAAGAGAAAGACAGAGATGATGAGGAATTCAGAAGATTAGAATTTGAGAGAACACAAAGCATGGATACACTTGCGCCATCGCAAACGATTTTGAGCCATGTCGTTCAAGGTCTCTAACCATCGGTGACTTTCGTCTCGCGGACCCCTAGCTTTCTTAAAGCCTACTCCTAAACCACAAAACATAGCTCGACGAGACAGTCGGTAGCTAGGCATGCGCAACACATGTCTCAACCACCTCAACTGATGAACACTGACTACTTCATCGAATGACCTACCATCCTTACCTAGTATCCGTTTCCTAACAGTATTGCTTACTCAATTGTCTCAGGATACACGAGCAATGCTTCGGAGACACCTATGATCGAAAACCAGTGACCTACGAATATCTTCTACTCTGACTAGTCATGTTTCGCAGCCATAAACTAGGACGGAGCGTATCCCAAACATAGTTGCATTGTTATTTAGGGTAGTCAGAAGACTGAATTTTGTCAGCGTCTTCACCGAATAGCACTTTGTCATCAGCATACTCTAAATCAACAAGCATGTCTCCTGGTAGAATGTTCACTCCTGAAAAGTTAGACGAAGATAAAGTTTCTTCTAAAAGTATGTCTATGACAAAGTTAAACAAGGATGGAGAGAGGGGTCAGCCCTGACGGACATCACTTGAAGTAACCAATTCCGACGACAGTTCGCCATAAAAACTCACTCGACCAGTGGTGTTCGAGTAGAGAGCTTGGAGAAGGTTAGTGTACTTCTTTGCTACGCCTTTCAGTGACAGACAGTGCCACAGAACCTAACGATCCACAGAGTCAAATGCCGCCTTAAGACCGAGTAATACTACTATTGTGGGGCGTCTGAGCGTGTGTCTTTGTTCTAGTGTGGTGCGAGCTACTTATAAGTAGTATATGACGAGAGTGTAAACGTAATGTCTGGCAGCAGAAGATGGGGGAAGATCAAGAAAGGAAGAGTTAGAAAACAATGGAATTTGTATGAAACGCATGAATAGTGACAATCGATTGATGTTTTGCATCAGGAACAGTCCAGTTCGATATGATGGAATGATATTTAGCAAATTAACGATTTACAATATGGTTTTCCTGTTTTACTGAGTAAATCTGTAATTTTCGTTAAATACAACCCGGTTGCCCCACCTGTGTTCTCGTTCACTACACTAGGACCTGACGTAGTGTGAATATCTGGTCTATACAGCCACGCCCAGGTCGAAAACCAGTCTGATTTTCTCGAGTCCGCTCTTCATATGCTCTAGTTAAGCTCTGGAGTTTTATTGAGGAAAAAAGAAAGATCAAAAAACAGATTACTCCGTGAAATTGAGATAGACATGAGAAGACTGAACAAAAATTGGACAGAGCTAGAATGGAAGACACAGGACAGAGATTGGGTTGAAGAATGATAGTGTGGCGGCCTATGCTTCATCGGGGGTAACAGGCATAAGTAAGTAATGTGGATATTACACATTAACGTCAAAAACAAAGACAAGTGTCATGTTTGTCTAATAATAGATCCCTGATCAAAATAAACTACGGTCGCTAATCGAAATAAGTGACTCGATATCATCCTGTATAAAATTACTGATACTTTTTAGAGATGAGATCCAATTGTTAATTAAAACTTAAATCCATGGTTTCCTTAGAAAGACAGCCGTTTCGTCCTAGCATGGGACTCATCAGCAGTGCGTATCCATAACCACGAGAAAGCGGGAATCGAACACAGGACGTTCGGTCTTGTGCGCAAACACTTAACCTATTGAACCGTTCATAATGTCAATCAATCTAAAACAACTCCATAATCCTACATATTGGCCATCATGATTATTATTAAAATGATATGTTCAAAGCAAAATATGCGCCTAGTTTGACCATAAAATAGTAAAGTAACATTTTTCGATAATAATGTTACATCTATCCAACTAACTTCATCTCTCTCTCTCGTCTATGCACTGTATAATCGCTAAACTCATCAATACTTGCGTTAGCTGCACGCTGATTGGTTAATTCTTATCCAATCAGCGCTAGTCGATAGTTGGAGAACATTCCATTAGGTTCCCATGTAAAAACTATAAAGATACTAACGTTGATCTTATTCCACCTTCGTTTCTCCTTCTTACTTCCAATTCGACCTTGTTATTTGGATAATAATCTCTTCCTTGTTCAACTGTGTTCTGATTTTGAGGATTTGTCAAGTGGATTAGTGTCCCAGAATACTAACTAAGCAATAGACAGACAGAGACAGATACAACGCAGAACTTCGTACGTAAGTACATCAGTTCAGGTTGCCATACCACGTCAGCACAGGTACGTAACTGTCAGTTCGAATCCACTAGTGATAGCGATAGTAGAAGTATTAGCAGTTAGGAGTGAAGATATGATTCGAGAAGTATAATTCAGTAAGATAAATTTAGAAGGAGAAAGGTAGAGATTATGAGGAATTCAGAAGGTTAGAATTAGGGAGAACGCAAACAGTGGATGCACCTGCGCCATCGCAAACGATTTTGAGCCATATCGGTCAAGGTCGCTAACCATTAGTGACTTTCATCACGCGGACCCCAACCAGGTACCCTACATCTACCAACATGACTCAGTTCACTTGTCAGTGAATTCATGGGTTTGTGCCATATTTTGGTCTGGCCACCCTAGCTTTCGTCCAACCTATTCCTGCACCACAAAACATAGCTGGATGAGGCAGTCGGTGGTTAGTCATACGTAAAACATGTCCCAACCACATCAACTGATGAAGTTTCATTACTTCATCAATTGATCTGCCATCCCTACCTAGCACCCGATTCCTAATAACAGCGTTGCTCACTCAGGTGTCCCACGATATACGAGTAATGCTTCGAAGACACCTATGATCGAAAACCAGTAACCTAAGAATATCTTCTACTCTCACTGGTCATGTTTCATAGCCATAAAGTAAGACGGAGCGAACCACTGCACAGTACACTCGTCCTTTAGTCAGCAAACGGATATCTCGCTTACGCCATAAGTGACGCAGGTTGGCAAAAGCCAATCAAGCCTTCTGTATCCGAGCTGAAATTTCGTCCAAACACCAGGCCATCAGCACTGATGAGACTCCAAAGATAAGTGAAGCAGTCTACACGTTCGACTACTTCACTCCCTGTCATTAAGCAATAGGAATAGTTGGGTTCTTCCAAGACTTCCACTAACAGAGAAATATAACAATACTCCATTGATTGCCCTCTTAAACCAAACTATTAACATTCCTAAAAACAATATTACAATTTACACCGCCTCTACTTACTATTATTATTATCATCATCATCATGATTATCACATAAACCTATAAGAAGTTTATTTTGGTTGATAAAATACATGTATATATCATTTTCGAACTTGACAAAGTAAAACTATAAAAAAAATTTAGGTCATTTGTTTAAATTGTGTTAATTAGTCAATAAATAATGAATGGTTTTTAGATTGAATACACATGTGAGTGTAAAGCTAAAGTGTAACATTGAATAATGAACCACCAATCAGAATGGTGAAAATAAATCTAGGATGTCTATGCAAACAATTACATTACGGGGTTGTGAAGATTGTTAAATTACACATTTTTGAAACCATGAATCGATCAATGTTAGACCACCATTAGAAACCTGGAAGCACTGAAAAACGGCCGTTTCGTTCTAGTATGGGACTCCTCAGCAGTGCGCATCCACGACTCCTGCACCCCGCAGTATTCGAACCCAGGCCCTCGGTATTGTGCGCGAACGCCCTAACCGTTAGACCACTGAACCATTATCTAACGGTGTCAATGTTATATCGTTATTACAAAGTAAAGATTACGGTGTGTCGATTGTAGATAACAGACAAATTATAATTGTATCAAGAAATATTTTAATCTTATTAATTTAAACTTTTCAGGATGCGATTTTCCCGCTCGAAATGTAAAATGTTGCTTTAGGATTGACGTGCGACGGCACCTGAACTAGTGCTAGGGAGTGTAGTAGTTGAGTGCGTTAACCGCTTCATTTATTTTGGCAATCTCATCAGTCCTGATGGTTTGGTGTGTGAGGAAATCTCAAAACGGATACAAAAGGTTCGACTGGCTTTTGCCAATTCGCGTTACTCATAGCGTAGAAGAGATATCCGTCTACTAATTAAAGGATGAGTTTATTCCTAAATTATAGTTGTGAAAAATGGCCAGTAAGCGTAGAAGACATTCGTAAGTTACTGGTTTTCGATCATAGGTGTCTCCGAAGCATTGCTCGTGTATCCTGAGACATCCAAGTAGGCAATGCTGTCGTTAGGGAACGAGTTCTAGGTAAGGATGGCAGGTCAATAGATGCAGTGTAGAAACTTCATCGGTTGAGGTGGTTGAGACATGTGTTGCGCATGCCAACCCACCGACTGCTTCGTCGAGCTATGTTTTGCGGTTATTGTTTATAAAAGGTTAACTGAAGCATGAATATTTTAGCTAGTGAGTGACAAATTTCAATGTAGGATATTGGTTTGAAAATCAGATCAGAGTGCATTAATTTTGGATAGATCTTACAAACTAGCGCCAACTAGGCCGAGATGCATACATATATTCAAAACTATGACCGTAGCTGCTACCTTGACGTGGTGGTCGGGCTTATCTATCGTGATGACTCAACCGAGCTATATTCCCTGGAACAAATGTTCCTGTAAGTTCGAACATGCCAGGCAGGTCGATTGCAGAACGATGAGACTAAATGCAGCTACCCAAGGTCTGAGGGCGAAGTCGTACTGCTGACTGTAGAGGGGTGCGACAGCAGTAAGGTGTTTCCCTCGGACAACCAGAATCTGCAGCAACGCTGCCTTCTTACAAGGTAAGAAGGGGTTACAAACGGTAGACCCTAAAAATGTCACAGGTCACCTTACCTCACGGATTTCTGTCTCAAGCGGTAAGGCCACTTGAAGATCGGAAGCTAACACTTTGAAAACTTCTCATAAAAAGGGTGTATGTGATCGACCTCAAGCAGTTGTCTGTTGGGCTCAGCGGTCACGCTCTCAGATCCGTAAGACCGATACTAATCTATCTTCCTTTTTAGGTTCCTCAAGAAACAGGATTTCACGGTGTGGGCAGCCGGGAAGTGGCACCCACCCTCATACCCTTAACAGCACACGTGACCGAATCGGTCACAACCAAACCCTTACTAAGCAGTAATCGTTCTTCAACAGCATAAAGTAATGTTTTCCTAAAACTCTTTTCATATGTGTACGTATTAAAACAATACAAGTTGAAGAGTAGGATCGTTCACACTAACAGAAGGAAATTAGCATATATGAGTATAAATTCCATCACATGACAAATGATATTAGAGAAAAGATTGTTGAGTTTCATTGAAATTATCAATCGACCATTGTTAGACTATCATTGAAAAGTCCTGGAAGCACTGGACCGCCAAGATTCGTCCAAGTATGAGAAGTCGTGACGGGTGGAGTTCAAATCCTGTCAGGTGTAGGCAATTACCTACAGAAGACAATGAGTAAGGTTGAGCACTATCTTGGTTTGATTAAAGTCAGACATTAAAACCATCGGATCCCAGCTCAGTGGTATCGACGTTAAGCGTTCGTACGCGAAACCGAAGGTCCTGGGTTCGATTTCCGCAAGCGGAGATCGTAGAAGTGCACTGTTGATGAGAACTCCTATATTAGGACAAAGTTCTTCCAGGATTAAAATAGTGGTCTAATAATGATTGATTTATAGTTTTAAAGAAAATATACATATATATATTTATATCTATGATATTGATTAAAACCACATGAATAAACACTTACTCTAACTTCTGGAAACAATGTGATTATTTTGATTCGATCTTTTTGACGTTGACGTATAACAAATAATTCAGTTTCTTGAGCATACTTGTTTTATGAAATAAAAAGAAACAAATAAAAAGGCGACATGTAAAAAGTAAATCACGCAAAGACTGTGAATACTACAAACATTATGTTATATGGAAAGCTAAAGACAGACAGACAGACAGATCCAACGCAGAACTTCGTACGTACATACATCAGTTCAGGTTGCCATACCACACATCAGCACAGAGACGCAATTGTCAGTTCAAATCCAAGAGTGATAGCAACAATAGAAGTATTAGCAGTAATGGAGAAGATTAGGGAGCGAAGATATGATTCGAGAAGTATAATTCAGTGAGATGAGTTTATAAGGGGAAAGATAGAGATTATGAGGAATTCAGAACGTTAGAACTAGAGAAGAAACCAACATTGGATGCACCTGCGCCATTTCAAACGATTCTGAGCCATGTCATTCAAGATCCCTTACCATCGGTGACTATCGTCTCGCGGACCCCAACCACGTAGCCTACATCTACCAACATCACTCAGTCCACTTGTCAGTGACTTCATGGATTTTTGCCATGTTTTGGTCTGCCCGCCCCTAACTTTCTTCCAATCTGTTCCTACACTGCAAAACAGCTCGTCGAGGCAGTCGGTGGTTATGCATTCGTAACACATGTCCCAACCACCTCGACTGATGAAGTTTCACTACTTCATCTATTGGTTTGCCATCCCTATCTAGAACTCGTTTCCTAACGACAGCATTGCTTACTTGGATGCCCCAGGACACACGAGCAATGCTTCGGAGACATCGATGATCGACGACTAGTAACCTACGGAAGTCCTCTACTCTTAACGGCCATGTTTCGCATTCGTACAATAGGACGGAGCGAACTGCTGCACAGTACACTAATCCTTTGGTTAGCAAACGGAAAGCTAAAACCGGTGGTTAAATTAAATTATTCATTCAATATCCTAAAGAAATTATTTTGTAAGTCTAATTCTATTGGTCAGCATTCAAGGTCGTCCTAAACTATCAAGTTCACATACTTTTAAATGTTGTTTCCTATTGGGGTTAGTATTCAAGGTTGACCTAACTGTATAAATATGCATTGTCTGTAAAGTTTTAGGCTCCTCTTGTTCTTCTTCTGTACAAAAACTCATATTTTCTGGGTGGTTGTAGTAGAATACACTTTCTACATCATATCAAGAGATTTTGAAACCGTTGATGGGGGCCTGGGACGCTTGGATTAGAGTAGTAGCCTATCGTGTGACTGAATCACTTGTCTCGATTCTCGTTTACCGACTAAGATGAACTCGTATTAGTAGTTTCAAGCATATCACAATTGACGAGCAAAACAATAATGTCCCTCCAACCTTACTTTATATTTAATAGTGTTCCCATTGGATAAACTAATCTACATTGTTACAAACTACTTTCTCATAATGAAGGTGTTATTTACGAAATAGAGAGGACGAAAAGCGAGTGTCTGATGCTTTAACCTAGTTGGTGAGTATGGAGGATTCATCTAGACAAGTTGGAAAACCCTAACTGTAAGGATTTGATTTTGACCAATTCGGTCTCGTGTTTTGGCACGGGTATGAGGGCGGTTGTCACTTCCCGGCTGCTCACACCGTGGAAGGTTGTTTCTAGAAGAACCTGAAAAGGAAGGTAGATTAGTGTTAGTCTTAGAGACCTGGGTGCGTGACCGCAGAGCCCAAGGGACAACTGCTTGAGGCCGGTCACGCACAGCCTTTTTATCAAAGGTTTTTTGAGTATTAGCTCCGCTCTTAAAGGCCCTTAGTGGGAACCCTTACCGACGAAGACGGAAATCCGTGAGTTAGGGGAGGTGTGACATTTTTAGGGTCGACCTTTTCTAACCCTTCCTTCCTTGTGAGAAGGCAGCATCGCTGCAGATGCTGGTTGTCCGAGGGAAACACCTTACTGCTATCACACCCCTCCATCACAGTCAGCAGTACAACTTCGCCCTCAGACCTTGGGTAGCTACATTTAGTCTCATCGTTCTGCAATCGACCTGCCTGGCATGGTAGAACCTTCAGGAACATGTTCCTGAGTGAACATGGGCTCCAGTATCCTGAAGGAACAAATATTGTATAAACCTACTCTGTTGGTCACAGGTTATCATCATGAGACTTTATAGCCTAACATTACTCAACTGTCTTGTATATTAGACCTACAGGTCAAACGCTCAAACTATGGCCTCCTAAGGAAGCCACCTGTTTCTATCTGAGCAACCACAGGGCAGTATGACAAGCTCATTCATAAATTCACTGATTTGTGTAGTGTATAACTAACTATTTAGGTGCTTCTTTATACCAATTATTTATGTGTTTCAATAAACAGAAAAAAACTTCATCAGCTGCTAATTAACCATTTCATTGTTGTTGTTTTCTTAAAATTATTCAGTTAAAACAAATAAGATAGAATGGTGATCGACTAATGAAAAGGAATGTGTATGTATTGAAATGTCAATAATTTCATCAACCAATCAAATGCAAGTTCACCCACCATCACCTTGTACAAAACTTTAGAGATTTTCTTCTTTTGAAATCGATTCATGTTAGACCACACTACCAACCATTACAGAGAGAGAGAGACCTGGAAGTACTAATCATTTAAATTGTGGTTATCAGTACAGTACAAGTCTATATATAACTATAACACATAGTTCATTTCATTTGGAAACTTTTGAATTTCCAGTATACTTCAATTTGAATATTGATGTTCATTCATACTTTCACTCTAACCAAATGTCTATCATGTTAGATAGGTTAATGCTGTTACGCATGCATGTAAACACGTCAACTTGATATAATTGAATTAATATTACGAGTTTACCTAGTCGGAAAACAAGAGCGAGGATCGAGGATCCGGTGACACGACATACTACTACTCAAATCCGATTATCCCAACCCACCATATTGAGTAAAATAAGAAGACGTGATATGAACTAGGACTTGTATTCTACAAGCATCCAGAAAGTACGAGGTCCGAATCCAGAAGGGAATCAGGATCCCGAACTAGGGATCCGGGACCGAGCCCTGGTCCTGGTCGTGGTCATAAAACGTTACACATAATGGGTATCTATACATTTTGGTCGAATAGGAAACAGCATCGAATTCTGTGACATTGACAGTTAAGACGACCCATAGGAAGCAACATTTGAAATGACATTGATAGTCAGGACAACCAATAAGAAACAACATTGAAGTATGTGACATTGATATCTACTAGGACGACCATCAAAATTGACCAGTAGGAATTAACCAATAGGAATAGACCAATAATTCTCTCTAAGGTATTGGATGAATATCCTAACAAATGCATTGTCAACTAACTTGTTCAATCGCAGTGGCGGCGGTCTGCTTTGAATATAACACTTACACTACCAGGTTTCCCATGTCTATATCAGTCGTATAACACTGAACAAAACCATTTATTATCACTATTATTATTGTTGTTGTTACATGAAAGTATTGGTAAGAGTTTATGATCAGATGAAACAAGCATTCAGGATTTGATTGCTAACTATAATTCATGTACACTAAGGGTAGCATTTCTACAGTTGAAGAGTAGCTGAAACTGAGAACAACTATCAACCAACACCGAAGTCACAATTTTCAATATAAATGTCAAGACAGTTCTAGTGTATGGTGTGGAGACTTGAAAAAACCATCATCCACAAGTGATTATTACCAGCTGTTTACGCAAAATACTTCGGATCCGTTAGCCAGACACCATCGGCAACAGTCATTCAGTCAGTTGCAACGTAGAACTTCGCATGTATGTACATAAGTTCATGTTGCCATACCACATTAGCACACAGAGACGCAAATGTAAAATCAAATCCCATAGTGATAGTAGAGATAGTAGAGGTATTAATGGTAATGAAGAAGACTAGGGTGGTTTGAAGATATATTATTCAAGAAGTATAATTCAGTGAAATAAGGTTAGAAAGAAAAAGGTAGATATGTTGACGAATCCGGAAGATTAGAATTTGAGAGAGCACAACGAATGGATGCACTTGCTCCATTGGAAACGATTTTGAGCCATGTCGTTCAAGGTCTCTAAAACCATTGGTGACTTTCGTTAACAACCTACTGTGGGAGAGAACAAACCAGATTCTAGGGGAAGAAGAAATCAAGAAGAAGCGCTGGAAGTGGATAGGGCAGACAAGCCAAGCCCTCACTTGGAATCCTCAAGGTCAAAGGAAAAGAGGGAGACCAGGAACTACACTATGCCGCGAAATGTAGACAGGAATGAGAAGAATGAACAACGATTCGACAGAACTAGAAGGCTTAAGACAGACAGTAGGTTGCTGATTGTTGTTCTAGCGGCTTATGCTCTCCATTGTTGGTAACAGGCGTAGGTAAGCAAGCAAGTAAGTAAGCGAAGCCTATAACCAGAAGTAATTCTCACTCCAATAGGCAAACTGATCAATAAGCAAACTGAACAAATAAAAAAAAATCCAACTTACTCGTTGTAATGCACTTCGTACTGAATCGATATCATTAGATTGTTTAAATAAATCTAATTTAGAATTGTCACAAAATAATGTTAAATTTGATTGAGGCTGATGATGATGAGTAGAAGGAGGAGGACGAAAGCCAATACGTCGTCTATACTGTTCTAACTTTAAAACAAATTCTATTGTATTTAACCATAATTGTCGTTTCTCCAGTACATCATTCATAGAAGGATCAAAATAGATGAATATTTCACTGGGTGATGTTGATGATTCAGTAGGATTTAATGTCGATGTAGTGGATGATGACGATGATGACGATGAGGGAGATGGTGGTAGTCGTTTTTCTAAACGAATCCAATAATCACCAATGGAATGTGCTGATTCAATGGTATCTGCAGTGGAAATGATGAAAACAAACGAATAGAAAGAAAAGAAACGGGATTCTGTGACATAAAATGACATGACATAAAATGGATTTTTTTTATTCACATTGATGTCTAAGAAGAAAAGGGAATTATGCTGACAAACTGAAATTTAGTCAGTCAGGCAGTTAGTCAGATGCAACGTGGAACTTCGTAAGTACGTAAGTACATTAGTTCAAGTTGCCATACCA